CCTCATGCCTCTCCCTCCCTGCCCTGCTACCCACCTCAGCCTGGTCCCAGCACTCCATACCCGTGTCTGCCTGTCTCAGTAGGCATTTCTAACCGCAGGATCTCCCCCCCGCACCCCACCCCCTACTCATCATTCTTTCCATGGGGTACCCACCAGTCTGAGACCTTCACTAACCCGTGGGTTATTGCCCGCCCCCCATCTGAATCCTAGTTTCAACCGGCCCCATCAGCTGGCCCTAGATGGGTGGCTTCTCAGCCACCTGCCTCCGCTTCCCCAACCTAACCTGGGTGGGTTCCAGTGAGAAGACAGTGTGATCGCTTCTACCCCATCTCCCGTATTTAGTAGGTGCGCAGTGTGTGTCCAGGGAATAGCCGAACATCCCCCATTTTCCCTGCCAGCCCCTGAGGCCCCAGTGGGAACCCCATCTAGAGTCAAGAAGGCAACAGGGAGAGAGGGGGTTGTCACACCAGACCTCAGAAAACTATGCCCTAACTGAGCTGGGCCACCAGGGCTGGGCTGGTGATAGGAACAGATTCAGTTACATCCAGTCCGGGCACTGGGCTTTCAGGGTTGATTGCCACCAGACCCTGTCCACCCTGCTCCTGGATAACACGCAGTGACTCTGGGTCCTGCTTTATTCAGATTTGGCAAAAGGACTCCACCAGCCGTTCCTCGCCCGCCGGGGGCCAGGGGGCCTGGGATGTTCAGGACCTCCCCCCTGTCCCAGCAGGGTGGGAGTGAGCAGGCCTGGGTGGGGTGGGAACCCTGGACCACAGCTTCTGGCTCTCCTGGAGGTGCAGCTTCTGGCTCTCCTGGAGGTGCCACTGGACAGGCCTCCCTGGGCGGTGTGGAGGCGGTGGCCACACGATGGCCAAGATTTGGGGGTCTGGTGGCGGGCAGGGCCGTCACCCGCAGTCTGAGGGGGCCGTGGGCGGCCGCCGGCTCGAGGGACTCCAGGCAGCCGGAGCCGGGGACCCAGGGCCCAGCCGGGGTGGCAGGGGCGGTGGTGGTGATGGGCGTATGGCTTGGGCGATGAGGCCAGGCAAGGCCTGCAGGGAGGTGGCCAGCGCGTCCAGGCGACTCTCCAGGGCGGCCAGGCGGCCCTCCAGGTCCTCTTGCTGGGCGTGCAGTTCAGCCACCAGGTCATACATGACGCTCTGGGTCTGGGGGAGGTAGTCGGGAGGTGGCACGTGAGGGAGCAGACAGGGCTGGGAGGAGAGCCCCTAGCCCCGGGGGGGTTCTGGCAGGATGGAGGGTCCTTGAATGCCAAGGTCTGGGCCAGCTGGCCTGGGGAGATCAAAGATGTTTGGGGCTGGGGGCTGGGGTGGCCTGAGTGGATAACTGGACACCAGCAAGCCCCACGCAAGGGTTTTCCAGATCTGGGGTTGAGTGGTCTCCACCCATTTGAGAGGGGTCTGTCTCCCTCCCCCACCTAACCTTTAAATGAAAAGTCTCCCGGCCCTGCAGGGGGGCTCCACATCCTGGAGAGGGGGTCATGGCCCTAGGAGAGATGTCTTTTTTCTGGGAAGGTTACAGGTGAGGGTCCTGGCCAAGGTGCTGGTTCTAGGGGCAGTGGGAGCAGTATATTCATCCCAAGCCACTGAGAGAAGTCCCGGGCTGATAAGGCTCAAGGTGGGGGTCCAGTGGGGGATAGTGGGGGCTCAGGGACCCGGAGTGTAACACGCAGGGACATCCTTTGTTTGGCTGGGGGAGGGGAGTGGGAGCCTGAATAGTGGCTGACAGATCTGAGGCTCATCTGGGGTGTTTCCACTGCCTAAATTGCTCCCCACAACCCAGAAAATAGAGGCCGGGCAGAAGCCAGGAGGCCCCAGGGCAGAAAGGAGCCCTTTGAGGTGATACCACTCGCTGCCAATAGGTGGCGCAAGAACCTCCAGCGTCCCCAGCCAGCTGACCCAACCACACAGGTTGAAGGGTCAGAGTGAGCCCACAGGGCAGAACTGTCCTCTGGGCTCCAGACTGCAGGTCTGGACGCGAGTAGACAGCCACATCCTTCTCCCGAGGAGCAGCGGGTGGTTTCGACCACTGACCTCAGAGTCAGCAGCCTCACCCGCTCCCCACCGGGGCTCCTTCTGGCAGGGCTGTTTCTGGGGGTGGGTGGGTGGGGGGTGGAACCCCCTCACTGACTCAGCCCAGCCTATGCCCCATGACCCAGCCTTAAGGTGACTGCTGGAGGCCCCGGGCGGTGTCTAGTCTGGGACCTCTCTGAGGTTCAGTTTTTTGAGAAAGCAGCTGTTGACATTACTCAGGTAGATTTCTGGCTTCTCTGGAACCTCTAGCTATGGTGGACCCCTGTGGGGAGGCCCGTGTCCCTAGGTGGCCCCGGTAGCACCTGCCTGCCCCATGGGTGCCAATGCCACACCCCCAACCCACCTCACCAATCGCCTGCTAGCCCTGGAGCTGCCTGCTCCACCAGTCCTGCAGCTCACCTTGGCCAGGTCAGCAAGTGTGTTGGCCTGGTCATTCAGCTTCCGCTGCTCCATCTTCACACTCCTCAGCCTGAGGACACAGGTGGGGATGAGGTGGGAGTCAGAGGAGGGCCCACAGCTCATGAGCAGGGGATGGGGTCCTTCATGCAACCCCCAAAGCATGCAGAGTGATGAGGTACAGAGTCAAGGGTCAGGCCTCTTGTGGTCCTTCCCTCCAATGGGTATGGCATGCTGGGGGTATGGGAGCTAAGGTTGGGGAGCTAGGGTGAGCCTTTACCCCCACCCCCCAAGGCCCTTGGCCTGATTCCAGCCCTCAGATCCCCCTGTCCTGAAGGGATCCCCACACTGGCCTCCAGGGTAGACATGTGCCTGCTTGCCTCTGAAGACAGACAGGGCATGCCCCATCTTCCCAGTGTACCCAGACTGCCATGCACTGACCCCCCGCGGAGCACCGGCCGACACTTACTTCTGCGCCCTGTTGGCACCCAGCGTAGCAGAGAGAAAGCACACAGCAATTTTAATCGCAGCCCAGGCAGCAGCACTTAATGGACCCCTGCCCAACTCCTGCCCTCAACCTCTGAGCACAGCCCTGGACCCTGGATGCATGAACCTGCCACCCTGCTCTGGGAAGGGCCCTGGCCTTTGGGGACACATCTGTCCTCCGTCCCCTCCCCACTTCCAACCCTGAAGGAGCCCCTGCACTGCCCTTAGCCCTGTGTCCCCAGAAAGGATGGGAGGGACAGGCCGGAAGCTGGTTAGACCAAGGTAGCAGGGCAGAGGCGAGTGGACACCTGGCTCTTGAAGTGCTGGCCCATCCAAGCTAAAGGGGTCCCCGAGGTTCAGAGGGGTGAATCTAGGGCAGTGGTTCTCAACCTGTTCATAACTGTAGCAAAAGTATAGTGATGAAGTAGCAACGAAAATAACTTTATGGTTGGGGAGGTCACCACCACATGAGGAGCTGTGTAGAACCACTGATCTAAGAGCAGGATTTGCACCTGGATCTAACACTGAAGCCTCGGCTCTGGACAGCTGCCTGTGGGGGTGGCAATATGTCCTGCCAGGGGACCACTTCCAGGGCTTGTCCCACATGTCCCAACCCTCGAACATCTGAGTTCTACTCCATGACCCCAGGTGCCAGATGCCCAGAATGGCCTCTTGGTGCTCACTCTGAGATGGCCTAGCACTGGGGACTACCCCCCCCCCCAAGTTTGGACATAGATGCTCTCAGCCTGTGGGTCAGGCTGGGGCTGAAGGAGGCCTGGAGGAGAGACCTGCTAGGACCCCCCGGCAGGCCCTTTCCTAGGGAAGTCCTTCCCAGGGAGACCATGCTGTACCCCTCAATCCACCTTCTGGTGGACTGTTTCTTCATTGCCTTCTTGCACAACATCCCCATCCTCGGACACTCCGAGTCCGGAACCTGCCGTGGCTCCCTCAGGCCTGCAGGCCAGGCCTCCTCCCATCCCCAGGCACCCGGACTTTCCCACCATGGTCCGGCTGCCCTCCGGTGCGTGCAGCATCGGATCCACCGTGCTGTTTTTACCGAGTCCCTTGGTGATTGCTTCCTGTGTGAACCTATGTTGAAATGTATCATATGTAGTTTACCGCGTGTCGATTTACTTTTATAAAACGGATTAAAAAGAAGAAAACCAAAGATGATTTTTTTTAAAAACCCCAAACACCTCACAGACAAGTGGATGCCAACTTCGAGCGGCCCTATAGGACAGGGCAGAACTGCCCCTGTGAGTTTCCAAGACTGTCATTTTTCTTCTGGGGAATAGAAAGCCAGGGACTGCTGGTGGTTTTGAACCTCAGACCTTGTGGTTGGTAGCCCAATATGTAACTACTATGCCACCAGGGCTCTGGGTGATTATTGAGGGTTATAAACCTCAGGGAGCTGCACGTCCGCTCCCTGTGAGCCACGCTACTCTGTGGTCAGGCTCCTGTACTGTCTGATGACCCTAAAGCCAAGGACCCTCGGCCTCCGGCCCCGCTGCTCCCCCCCAGCCTTGCTACCCACAGGGTCTTGTCTGCACCCAAGCATCTACTGTACTGGTGTTGGGTATGGCCTGAAGAGAAGAATTTTAAACAGCACCCCAGGATCCCAAGGAGGAGATCCACTTGAGTCTGTAATTCTCAGAACAAAGGGATGAGAGCAGAAACGAGTCAGTTCTAATCCCTCCACAGGATCAGGTCGCAAATTTAATTCCAGCTCCCTAGTAAATGTATTCGGCTTCCTCTGGAGAACAGACAACGCTCCCCATCCCTTAGACAGGAGCCTTCTAAGACTTTATTTGGGCTCATTGCTCCTGGCCTCCCTGCCCCACACCACCCCCTTGGCCGCATCTTTCCACCCAGGGGGTGGAAACTACGGGTCCCAACCAACTGCCAGCTGCCCTCGGGGTGGGACTGCGGTGAGGCCCGGCCCGTAGCCTCAGACTGCCTCCATGCTGGCTGGACACAGAAAGGAGGGTGGGAAGGGGCAGGACTTACTGATGGATGGCTTGGAGGAACTTACGCTGGTGTTTCCGAACCCGGGAATGGTCTGGCTTCCTCACCAGCCTGGTGTGTTTGTAGATGAGCCATGTCTCCCTGAGAACGTTTGCGGCCGCATTCTTCACCTGGCACAGCGAGGGGACAGTTCCTCAGGAGAGGCCTTGTCTTCCAGGAGGGCTTCCCCACCCCCACTACCCATCCCCCCATCCCCATCTCCCCTGACACAGGAGCTCAGAAATGGGCTTCGTGGCAGATGTCACAGGCGTTAGGGGCAGCCGCAGTGATGCGGATGGTGGCACAAAGGGCTTGGGTCTGGCCACGCAGTAGAGGGTGGGGTTTGGAAGCCACCCAGTGCCCGTGGCACGTGGCAGAAAAAGCAGGCAATCTGCTTCCCAACGATCACAGGCAGGGGCGCCCGAGGGAGCCGTCCCACCCTGTAACGCCTGGCGGGACTCCACGGCAGTGAGCTTGGTTTGGGGTGCTAAGTCCAATCACGTGTGTCCTGATGTGACGGCCCTGGGGTGTTGCCATAAGGTAAGTGACAGCAAGGGTTTCTGGGAGCCCCCGGAATGGAGAAGCGAGGCACAGAGTGGACACCCCCTTGGGCCTCATTAGGGGCCAGCCTTCCGGATACTTTGTGTGGGTGGGTGTTTCCCGGGGCTGCTGGGATGAAGTACCACGAGGTGGGTGGCTCTGGGGAGCTGAGATCGATTCGTCCCTCATGGTTCTGAGGCTGGAAGTCCCAATCCAGGGTGCTGGCAGGCCTGCACTGGGTGGGATCATTTGCAAAGACCCTTTGGTCCCTCTCCCCCTTGGGGTGGCCCGGGGTGTCCACGGCTTGCAGCTGACGTGGAATTCCCACACAAGGGCGCTTCCTTCTGTCTGCCTGTCTCTACTCTGGAGAAGGCCACCACTCAGGGGGGATGAGTACATCTCCCCCTCCCACTCCAGGATGTCCTCCTGTTAACCGAATGGGCAACAACCTCAGAAGAGCCTGTTTCCAAACAAGGTCACGTTCACAGGGCCCGGTGGTGACCGCAGCCTTTTTCAGGGGACGCAATTTGATCCCGACCTGTTGCCTGAGTCGAATTCTAACCCACAGACATTCCATCAGCCGGACGGGGCTGCCCCCCTTGGTTCAAACTGCCAGCCTTCTGGTCAGCAGCTGGCTGTTTAACCACTGCGCTACTAGGGGGCCGCAGTCAACCCAGAGCACCTTGGTTTCGCAGTTCCGGCCTTCAGAACTCGGACAGAAGACATTTCTGCTGCTAGAAGCCCCCGCCCCAGTATGCATGGTAATTTGCTATGGCCGATCAAGTGAACAAATGGAAGCTGGAGATGCTAGAATTTTCCAGAAAGCTCCAGAAGCTCCTGGAAAGCCCCTAGTTTGGGGCATCCATGCCTGGGTGTGCTCCAACATGTCACCTGGTCACCATGGCCAGGCTTCCTCCACGCCTCCTGGACATGAACTCTGTGAATCCACACACACTGTTCCCACCTCTGAATTGTGCATGGGAGAACTGAGGCATGGGGGCGTCTGCACGTCTAGACTTAGCCTCTCCCGGAGGGTGGGCACCTGGCCATCTCTCGAGTCCCTTTGTGCACGGTGTTGGGGGGCCTGGTAGGTACAATGGGCCTGGCTGCAGCGTCCCCCTGTCCGGGGTGTGTGGAGACGGGGGTCCTTACCCGCTTGTTGAGCTGCGTGTCCATCATGAAGTTGTGGACGTGCTTCTCAGCCTTGGTGAGCTCCAGCTTCCGGGCCACTACGGCCACCACAAGTGCTGTACAGCCGGCACCCTGCGTGCCAAGGGCAGGACTCGGATCAGTGAGCACCCCCCACCTCCAGGAAGCCTGCCCTGATTGCCCTCCACACCTGGCCTTCGTTAACAATTGAACCCTGCCTCCCTGCAGAGGATGTGCCATAAATCCCAATCCTCACGACTGACCGCTGAGCTACACCCTGGCCATCGGGGAGAAGACCGACACTGTCACGCAGATTCCATTTGAACTGGGGTCCACAATCAACGCCCCTGGGAGCGGAGGCCGGGCGATCGGAAGCGGCGTTGCACTGGGCAACCCTGCGGCGAGAGAGCTCTTTAAAGCGTTACAGAGCAGAGACGTCATGGTGGGGACGAAGGTGTGCCTGAGCCAGGCCGTGGTAGCTCTCATCACCTCGTCTGCACGGGAACGTTGGACACAGAAAAAGGAAGACCCAGAAAGATCGGTGGCTTTGGATCACGGTGCCCGAGAAGAAGATGCCATCTGCCGTGGACAAGCCTGCCCTGAAAGAAGCCCAGCCAGAGCGGCGTCTCCCAAGAGAGGACAGGGGATGTCCTGCCGGGCACTTTGGAGCTGTTGTCAGGAGACCCAGGGCCCTGCAGAGGTCATCACGTGTGGGGAAGTGGAGGCGAGGCGAAAAGAAGCCCCCTGGAGAGATGATTGGCAGCGCCCGCACCGGTGGGCTCAAGGGGAAGAACGAAGGGCAGTGGGGGGGGCAGGACCGGGCAGGGTTTCGATGGTAGGCAGGGTCTCTGTGAGCTGGCCCCGACCCATAGCACCTAACAGCAGCACAGCCACGCCCAGGGAGTCCTAGTGTCGCTGTAACCGCAAAGCTGGAATTCACCAGCTGCAGAGGGATCGTGGCCCCTGTAGGGGAGTTCCGCTCTGTCCTACGGGATCACTGTCCGTCAGTTGTCTTGAGGGCCGTGGGTTTATGCCTGTAGAGAAGGCGCTCTGGTGGCACTGGGGTTCAGGTGCTTGGCGACTAACCCACCAGTAGCTCTAAGTGAAGAAAGGCTGGCTGATCTGTCCTGTAAAGCTTCAACGGGAAGCCAAACCCATCGCTGCTGCCTTTTGGAAGCTGATGGCTCACCCGGCCTGTCCTCTGGGAGCCGTCTGCTGTTTAATGGCTCGCGCCACACAGCGTGGCCACGCATCAGAATTGAGCACATGGAACAGATGAAGGCAAAGACACGGAGAACAGATGGGAAGAGGGCGCGTGGAGACGCCAGGGACCAGGGCAGAGCCAAGAGAGGAAGCTGGCCCCGAGCACTGGCGCCCCGGTGTTGGATTTCTAGGAAAACGAATTAAGCCCCCCGGCCATACCCCCTTGCTTGCTGAACGTGAGGAGGACTTGAAGCCCCGGATGGTGAAGATGGAGGCTGACAGCCTTCACTGAGGATTACAGCTCCGTGTAAAGACCCACCGCCTCACAACTGGACCAGTAGGGAACATTGTGCTCAATGGAGGAAAGAGGGATGCCGTCAGGGATTTCATGTTGCTTGGATCCACAATCAGTGCTCCCGGAGGCAGCCGTCGAGAGCACAAAGCATACATTGCACGCGGCACATCTGCGGCACCGGACCTCTGGAGGGTGTGGGACAGCAAGGAGGAGGCTTTGACGAGAACAGCGCCTGCTCCAAGCCCTGGTATTTCAGCCGTCCCCCAGGTGTGTGAAAACTGTATGTCTGTGAAGAGTCGGAGCACTTGCATGGCGGTGCTGGGCGGGAAGCGTCAGGGGACCAAGGACGGCCACAAGGACGAGCAAAGCCGTCCGGGAAGAAGAGCGGGCAGAGAGCTCCTGAAGGCAGGCACGGTGAGACTTTGTCTCCTGTGCTTTGGACGGGTCGTCAGGGGACCAGCCCCTGAAGAAGGACAGACATCGTGCTCGGTAAAGTGGAACCGGAGCTCCCGCCCATCAAGTTCATTCTGACGCATAGCGGCCCCACAGGACGGGGTAGAACCACCCCTGTGGATTTCAGAGACTGTCAACTTCCTACAGGAATAAAAAGGCTCATCGTTCTCCCGAGGGAGGGCTGGTGGTTTCGAACTGCCAACCTTCTGGTTAGCAGCCCCCTGCGGAAACCAATCGAGGGGCAGTGACAAAGAAGGTCCTGGACAGGATGGATGGACACAGTGGCTGCAACAGGCTCAGAAAGGAACAGTGGGCAGCGCTTCCTTTAGCTGTAGGTCGGGACGCTGACAAATAACAACTAACGACTAACAACAAGCCCCCTGCACTGTGAGGTGGGGTCCAGCTGCGTCACAGCATCTCTGAGAAGCTGAGCTCCTCCACGCCCATCACCTTGGTGGACCCCCTTCTGAACGCCCGCCGCCCTGGCCCGCGCCCACGCACCATGATGCCGGTGAGCAGGCACACGCCCTTCCCGCAGTAGGTGTGCGGCACCATGTCACCGTAGCCGATGGATAGGAAGGTGATGGAGATGAGCCACATGGCGCCCAGGAAGTTGCTGGTCACCTCCTGCTTGTCGTGGTACCTGGAGGAGCCAGAGGGGTGCAGCCAGTCCATGCTGGTGTCTACCTTCATTACCCCGCGTTCCAGGGCTGGGGCAGGGGCAGCAGGGCCCCAAGTCAGTCCACCTCATAGGTGGGATCACGCCCATGGGGAGTGGACCGGTCTGGGGATGGAGGTAAGGGAGGGCTCTGCGGGGCATTGTGGGCAGTGAACCCCAGGGGTGGGGGCGGGGGCTGCAGTCCTGACCCTGAGGACTGGACACCTTTTCCCGAACACCCCTCCCACATTCTCTGCCTAACCCAGGACATCTGCCCTCCCTGGTCCTGGCCACGGGGCGGGCAGAGAGGGGCCTGGGTGCACACACTCACACACACACCACAGAGATACACACCACACACAGACAGACGGGGACACGGGTGGCCAGAGGCGCCAGAAGCGGCAGGGAGTAGAGGCACAAAGATAAGAAGATTCCAGTCAGACACCAGGATGGACTTCCCTAGCTGGGAAGGCCCAGAGGAGAGAGGGCGTGGGGAGAGAGGCTGAAGGATCATGCCCAGGACTTGAGGGAGAAGGGGAGGCAGGATGTGTGGCACCCCCAGCGCCCCAACCCTGGCCTAAGGGTTGGGTGGGGAGAGGCCTGGGGCTCTATTTTGGGGTGTGAGGTGAGCAGGCCCCACAGCCTTGAGGGGAAGGGACGGGGGTCACAGAGGGGCCTAAACTGGCCTTTTGTGACTTTACCTGGTCTGAGCCAGGTCTGGAGGGTGGCGGGAGGGTCTTGCTAGCAGAGCCTCCTGCTTTGGGCTCCAGGGTTTCTAGGTGAGGGAGAGATGGCTAACCCTACGGGGGTGGAAACTCCCTACCTGGTCTGCTATTTTGGGGTTCCTTACTTTTGGGGGAATCAGGTATCATCCCAGTGGTCCTAGGCCACCAGTGGAGGGGACAGGGAAGGCTGAGACTGAAGCTGTCCAACACAAGGCACCCAAAGGCAGGGGAGCTCTGGTGTGTGCTGCAGGGTAGGGGTGGGGGGCATGCAGGAGGCGGGGGGGGGTGGGGGTGGGGTGTGGGAGGGAGAAAGGCAGGGGGAGAACTGCAGGACAGAGCCAGGCAGGTGGGGCGTTAAGCGTTGCAGGGCTCAGAATTTAGGATTGGCTGCCCACCATCCCTACCTGTGCCCCTCTCAGTGCCAGTCCCAACCTGCCCTGGTGGTGATGGGGAGCACATGAGGAGACACCATGTCCTCTTCCTGGGAGCCCAGCATCAGATACGGCAGTTTGAGGGGTGCTGAGGTGGATCCAGCCCAGGGACCCCCAGGAACCTCAATCCCAGCACCACCTGCCTGAGGCTCTCCCAAGTGAGATCCTCCCCACTGGAGCCGCCCAGGGCCCTGGGAGGCCTGCTGGGCCCCCAGCCCCTGGAATACGCTCTGGGGAAGCCTCCTTCCTTTCCTTTTGCAGCCTGTTTCCTCATCCCTAGCGGGGTCTGCTCAGAACTGACTGGGGGACCCTGAAGGCAAGGCCGCTTACACGCAGAGTCAGCCTCCTAAGCCCTCCCATCCAGTCTCCCTTTCCGGCTTCTGGAACACACAGTGCCTGTGGCAGCCTGCCTCCCCGCCATCCAGGCAGGGGCCTACTCCACCTCTAGGCTCCAGGGACTCTGAGCCCAGCCCTGCCTCCTGTCCCTGTCCCTGCTGTGGCAGCTAATCTTAAATTCCTGGCCGACAGGTGGCGGCGGTGGCGGCTCTGCGGGTGGCCGAAGCGGCACTCACATGTTTTCCCTACGTCCATGGCAGGCGGGGGAGAAGGAGACCAGGTTACACGTTCCTGCTGTCCCTGCCGCTGCCCAGGCCAGAAGCCAGAGGCTACCCCTCCCCCCCAGAGGAGGGGCCAGAAGAGGAGGGGATGTGATGGGGAGAGGCCCCAGCAGAGGAGGGGGTAGGCTGGGGTGGGGTCAGGTGGCTAGGGACACTGGGCTGGTGGCCCAGGGAAACCAGTGATGGCTGTAGGGTCCTCAAGGTCATTAGGCGTGAAGGTCACAGAAGGTCTTGGGTTCAAGGACATGGGGGTGATGGTTGAGGGCCCTGGGGGTTCTGGGGCCAGGAGGGTGGAAGTGGCCCCAGGTGTCGGAGGTCATGGATGGACACGGAGGCCACAGGGAGCTAGAATGATGGGAAGACTCCCAGGTCCCTGGGGTCATGGGGCGCAGTGGCCTGGAAGTCATGCCCAGGCTCATCTGAGGGGGATCCCAGATGGTCTTGGGGCTCTCCAGGGGGGCTGAGAGCCCCGGCCCAGGGTTCCTGAGTTCGATGGGCTACACCAGGGACCCACATCAGGGACCCACAGCGGTGGCTCAAGAGTCCCCTGTCCCCAGGGTCATGGGCTGGACACCGGGCCACAGGGGCCCAGGGTCAGGGAGATGGCTGGCAGCCAGGGCAGCCCTGGGTCCTCGAGGGCTCAGGGCCAGGTAGGGGGAACGGCGGGGGCGCACCTCTCGCAGACGCGCACGGTCCAGGCGGCGACCACCCAGGAGGAGATGCTGAAGACCAGCAGCACGGTGCCGGGGCAAATGGTCATGAGCGTCTTCATGACGAAGCGCGTGTTGAAGGTGACCTTGTTGAGGGCGCCGATGCTGCGGCTGGAGGCGTCCGTGAAGATCTTGCTGTGCAGCAGCATGACGCGGCCCAGCAGGTAGAGGCGGAGGAACATGGGGATGGACAGCAGCACGTCCACGTCCGCCTCGGCCTCCGATGGCGTGTACGTGAAGGCCAGCCGCGCCGTCCACGTGAAGCGGTAGTGGCCGGGGACCGGGTGCACGGCGCACACCACCAGCTCCAGCGAGATGAGCAGCACCCGCTCGCAGGTCATGGCGATGCGCCAGTCGTCCGCGCCGTTGTCCACCATGAAGAGCTGCGGGGGCGGGGCAGGTGGGTCTCCACCCCGCCACCCTCCCCCGCCTAAGCAGCCCCGCATGAGAAAACTCCCCAGTCCTCCCAACGTGGGCCATCTGCTAGGTTACAAGCACCGGGGCGGGGTATCCACAAGTGTGCTCAGTTGGATGCCCCGTGATCCAGCAATTCCGCTCTGGCTGTGTGTCCGAGAGAAATGGAAATGTAGGTGTGCACAGAAGGGGGGGGGGTGCGTGTTCACACAGCACGATGTACAACCGCCGCGGCCCCAAGCACCCCTACCCTGCCATCCATACAACGACAGAACTGTTTTCCCCCAAATATGTGTGGCAAATCCTCACCCTACACCTGGGTGGTTAAGCGGCTAAGGCTTTGGGTTGGAGGTTTGAGGCTACAGGAGAAAGACGAGTCTTTCCATCCCTATAAAGACTTACAGCCCGGAAACCCACAGGGGCAGTTCGAGCCAGTCCTATAGGGTTGGAATTGACGCCATAGCAGCGAGTCGGGAGGTATGTTTTTGTGTTTTTGTTTTTAGTGGTGCCTTGAAAACAGGCTTGGCGGTCCACTTCTGGAGCTCAGAGCCTTGAACCCCCATAGATAAGGTGACCAGACGCCCCGCGTTTGGCGGGACAGTGCTGACTTTGAACAATCTTTCCTGCGTCCCGCGGCGTTTTAAAAAAGTCCCGATTTTTGGAAAGAATGCACGACAAGCTAGGGTAGACGGGTTTCGGCTGCCATGTGGCTGTTTCACCAGGATCTGAGTTTTATCAATGGTGTCCCGCTTTTGTCCCACGTTACCCATGTGAAAATCTGGTCACCTTACCCATAGAGCTTTTCTACTCTGCACGCATGGGGTCGCCAGGATGTAGAATTCACCCCATAGCAAAAGCAACAGTACCGGTGGCTGTAATCTTCAGTCCATATGGTGCTCTCTGTTATGCTAACCGGGCCCTTATTAGTGCTGGGTCATACCGTCCTAACTAACCACGTTTGAGATCTAAACGGAGCTGCTGAGGCACCGACATAAGAACAGATGGAAGAAGAGACGCTGCAAAGAGACCAAGACTTTTCCTGAGAGAGACAGACAGACAGGCTTCTTCTAGAGCTGGTGGCCTGGATTCAGACTCCTCAACGGCCAGGGAAGACGTTTCTCTTTTCGCAGGTCCACCCACGTGCAGGCCTGTCGTAGCAGCGCTAGCTAACACACGGACAACACAAGCCACCAAGAAGCCCGCTCTGGAAGGAGAAACCAGAAACTACCTTCCAAGGTAGTAAATTTCCCCGGTTTCCAACACGTCACCATTTAAACTTAAAAGCATAGTGTGGCGTATCCTCAAATGTCTAACCATCACATTAACGTGTGACCCAGCAGTTCCACTCCTGGGTTGATGCTCAACTGAAAGGACAACCCACATCCGCGCATAGTTTCATACACGCGTGTTTACAGAAGCATGAGTCACCCGGCTGGAAGTGGAAACAACTGTGGGTCTCTTTGTGGACGGGAGGATATGCACAATGTGGTCGATCCCCCCAGCGATATTATTCAGCCAGGAGGAGCAATAAGTCCTGATGTGTGACACTACGTGGATGAACCTTGAAAACATCGTGCCGAGTGAAAGAAGCCAGACCCAGAAGTATGGTCCCACTAAGATGCTGATCTAGACTAAGAAAACGCATAGACAAAGTAGATTAGTGGTCGCCTGAGTCTTGGGACTCCATTCGTCTGCCACTTTGTCATACGGTGGCTTGTGTGCGGCTGTGATTCTGGAAGCCAGGCCACTGGTATTTCAAATACCACCAGCAGGGTGACCCCGGGTGGACACACTTCAGCAGAGCTTCCAAACTAAAAGCAAACTACAGAGAAAGAATCGAGCTAAAAACAAACTACAGAGAAAGGATCGGCTGTCTACTTCTGAGGAGCTAGCCACGGAAAACGTTCTGACTAACAGTGGTGCATTCTGACAGAGAAGCCCCTCCGGTTGGGAAGCGCTCAAAATATGACTGGGGAAGGGCTGCCTCCTGGCTGCAGGGATGGCATTAGCGGTGCGCGTAAAGTAAGGCTTTCAGAATCTTCATTTGCGGATACAGCCCTGACTCAAAATGAGAAGCAACAGCTGAAAATATCCATCACTACTCAGAACACAGAATATACGAAGTAATAATGTGGGAAGATTAGCAGTCGTCAAAGAGGAAATAGAACAGAAAAAGATCAGGATGTGAGGCATGAGTGAGTTAAGATGGACTGGTATGGGCCATTATGACTTAGACATGGTCTGATGTACTACGTCGTGTCTGGCAAATTCGAGCGAAATGACGTCACGTTCAACATTAAAAAGAGTTTTCCCAAGGTCTCTCTTGAATTCCAGTTTTGAAATAGGACAATATTTATATACCTGTAAAGAAGACCAGTTAATACAACTGTGATTCAAATTTATGCATCCTCATTAAAGCCAGTGATGAAGAAATTGAAGAATTCCACCAATTTCTTCGGTCGGAAATTGACCAAATATGGAATCGCGCGGCACTGATAATGCCCGGTGATTGGAAAGCAGACATTAGGAACAAAGAGAAAGGGGCAATGGTTGGGAAACCTGCCTTTCCTGACGCAACAAGAGCTGTCAATCACACGATAGGCCCTCCCAGGACTAACAACTGCTTCACTGCAAATACATTTTTTTCAGCAACATAAATGGTAACTCAGCATACACATGGACCTTGCCGAATGGAACACTGAGGGACCAGCTTGTGCACATCTGTGGGAAGAGACCAGCCGAGAAGCTCAGTACCGTTAGCCATAACTGGCCCAGCCATAGCTACCAAGTAACCCATTCATTGGTCATGTGCAAGTTCAGGTTGAAGCTGAAGCAAATTCAAACCAGTCCTTGAGAGCCAGCCTACCACCTTGGACCTATCCCACCTGAAGCTGGAGCACATCGCAAACACGGGTCAGGCGCACTGAACATGAATGAGCCGAGTCCAGAGCAGGTGGGGGATGACTTCAAGAGCGTCCCACACGAAGAGAGCAAAGGGTCATTTTTAAAAAGACAGGAAGGAAAGAAAAGCTCACCGTGGCTGGCAGAAGAGACTCCGGCCCTTGCTCTTGAATGAAGAGTAGCCAAAGTGAACAATCAAATCACGAAGTAAAAAACAAACAAATGAACAAACACTGAATGGAGACGTGTGCAAGGCAGCTTGAGCAGTCAGAGGACAAGCCCAAGAATGAAATGTGCAAAGTGGCGAAAGAAAGGGGAAGCAGACGCGTGGCGCATGTCTCAAGCTAAAAGAACTAAGAAACCATTCAAGCCTCAAGTTTCGGTTTTGAAGGATTTTACCCGGTGCTGGCAAAAAATGCTGAAAATCTCGTGGACCGCCCAGAGGACAAACAGATCTGTCTTGGAAGAAGCACAGCCAGGGTGCTCCTTAGAGGCGAGGATGCAGAGACTTTGGGCATGTGGTCAGGAGAGACCCGTCCCTGGAGAAGGACATCGTGCTCAGAAGAGGGGCAGCAAACAAGAGGAAGGCCTTCCAGGAGATGGATCGACCTGCCCCCACAACAACGTGTTCAGGCAAAGGAACAAGGGGGAGCGTGGTGCGGGACCGGCAGGGCTTGGTTCTGCTGTGCGTATGGGTTGCTATGGGTCGGGACCCCCTTGGTGGCACCTAGCAACAAAAGCAGATGGGTGAAATCTTGAACAACACCAGACGCATCTAAGGAGGTCAGAAAGAACGCAGAGTCATGTCCCCAAAGAGCTGGTCAGCACCCGGAGGGGCATAGAAATAAGAACTGAGGGTACTGAAGGAAGAAGTCCACGCTGCCCGGAAGGCACTGGTGAAAAACTAAGGCTCCAGGCATTGACTGGACACCCGCTGAAATGGCTCAAAAAACTGACCCGCACTGGAAGTACACACTGGTCCCTGCCAAGAAATTTGGAAGACAGTCACCTGGCCAAGAGGTCGGAAGAGATTCATTTGAGTGTCCGTTCCAAAGAAAGGTGACTCAGCAGAATGTGGAAATGAGTGGACAATGCCGTTCATATCACATGCAAGTCAAACTTTGCTAAAGATAATTCCCAAACGGTTGCAGCAGAACATCAGTGGGGAGCTGCCAGAAACTCACCCTGCAGTCGGATGAGGATATGCCAGGAGGGTTAGTTACCCTTGCTGAAGTCAGCCAGAGGGTCCCAGAAAGATGTTTCCTTGGGTCTTATTGACTATGCCAACACAGGAGGTGACGGTAAAGAATGGGAATTCCAGAACTGTGCTCATGGACACGGGACCAAGAGGGAGCCCTTCTAACCGAACAAGGGGCTATGGTGAGGTTTGAAATCAGGAGAGGTGTGTGTCGGGGCTGTAGCCGTTCAGTCTTATTCAATCTGGATGCTGAGCAAAAAACAAGAAAGACGATCTGAAGAAGAATGTGACATCAGGCTTGGAAGAATGTTCCTGAACAACCAGTGATATGCAGAGGATACACCTTTGATTGCTGACACTGTAGAGGACTCGAAGCATTGACTGAGGAAGATCAAGAATAGAAGCTTCTTCAGTATGGGTTATAATTCACTGTAAAGAAACATTTTTTTAAATCTTCACAATTGGACCAGTCGTTTTCATTTCTCTTGGGCACATCCTCCGGAGCGGAACTGCTGGCTGTGCGGCATCCACCGGAGCGGTGCTCCCCGCTGTGGTGGACAGTTGCTATGAGTCAGAACTGACTGGACGGCCCCTAGCAACCCAAGCCCCTGCAGGGAAGGATGGCTCAGGCCTGGCAGCCCCGGAGAAGGCCACCCACTCGCGAGCGAGGCCAGGCGCAGCCAGGTGCTAAGACCAAACTGGAAGAGGGCAGGGGGTGCTGATCATTGCCACCTAGACCAGAGTTCAAGTCCTGGCTCTGTCATTCGGGGCACCCCTGGGCAGCAGCTGCCCCTCTTGGGGCCTCCGTTTCTCCCTCTGTAAGGCCGAGGGTGACAGTGCAGCCCAACTGTGACGTGGCTGTTGTGCATTGCAGTTGAGGTGACCCCAATCCCTGGCCACCCTGTGTTCTCAGCGTGGTAGCATTGCCCCAGGAGGTTTGGGGTGGGACCTTTCACAAGAGATCTCAGGGTCTTCCTCGCAGGGCCCCTCTGGGTAGTTCACACGACCCAGGGACTAAGGCACAGTTATCTCCTTAATTTTCTGATGTGTCATTTTAAAACGAATAACAACGAAGGGATTCTAAAATAAGAAAAAGGGGGTGGGGCGCCGCATCCTTCCAACGTGTCGTGACTACTTGGGCTTAGTGGTTACCATGGGGGAGGGGGGAGGGGGGGAGGACGATGGGGGATGTGAAAACCACTGCCAAAAAAACCAAAACCCAGCACAGTCTTGAAGGCCATTCCTTCTAGCGGCACACCCCGCCCACGCGCTTGAGTGATCGGAGCTGAACACTGGCATGCTGCCCGGGACAGGTGGGGGCGTCCCCTGTTCCCTGTGGGCTGTGAGAGACCCAGGGGGTGTCTGGGCCTGGAACTACAGCCAGACGAGCGAGGCTGCAGGAGAAAGCCTCTTTCTCAGGAGCACAGGTTGAGGCTGGTTCCGCGGTGGCGGACGAAGCACCGGAGGTGCTGTCTCTGAGGATGTGGCTGTTTGCCTCGCCAGGGGCTTTTCTGCATTTCGTTCCAAGGTTTAAAATATCACATTTAAATAGTATTGGGCCTGATGACTGCGTTCTTGGCACCCCCTGGTATTTTGTGCCTGCGGCTCAGTGCCTCTCACCTACCTTGGTTCCAGCCCCAACCAGGTGTCCTGTTGGAAGCCTGGCGGGTGGAGGGCTGAGGGGGCTGGGTTATGCCTGTGCCAGACAGGGGGCTTGCTTTTCAGCCTCTCAGAAGGACAGCTCGGTGCTCTGTTTCGCCTGGAAGCTTACTGGGATGTAATTCACTGTCCATCTAGTTCCCCCATTTAAAGTCGCGTTTACAAGACTGCGGGCAGCCACCGCCTCGGTCTCAGTCCAGAACCCAGGAACTAGGGAGCACCCTGTGCCCTTTCCCTAGATTTGCTGTTGTTGCTGTAGTACCGTGGGTCGATTCTGACTCAAAGCGTCCGTCCCTAGAGGGTGCAGGAGACCCGCCCTCAGAGCTTTCCCAGGGGTGCAGTCGCCCGGGGTTTTCTCCCCAAAGCCACTGATGGGTTTCAACTGCCGACCTTTCGATGAGCAGCCGAATGCCCCCCAAGCCCTAGGCAGCCTCTCCTCTACTTTCTGTCTTCCTGGGCATGCCTGTTCTGGGTTTTGGCCCCCCCGCCCCCGCCCCCCGTGGAATCACGTACCATGTGACCGTGGGTGCCTGGTTTCTCCGAACAAGTTCCCTAGCTCATCCATGGGTGGCCTGCACAAGGGGGGCTTCAAACAGTTACAGGAAAAAAAACCCTTCTCTTCTCATTCCACTTCCCCACGAACCTTCTGAAGCCCTCGCGTATGAGTACTTTACTGGATGGTGTCCCTGAAAAGACAAGCGGCCCTTCTACCCTCTGGAGTCACGGATGTGACCTGTTTGGGAAAAGGCTTTCTCCTTGGAGCAGTCAGCAGTTAATTTAAGTGCCGTCACACTGCAACCACGCCCCCTGCCACTGAGTCAACCCTACACACAGTTTCCGAGACGATCCATCTTTACGGAAGCAGACAGCCTCCTAGGCCTCCTGAGGAGCGGCTGGTGGGTTTGAACCACTGATTTGTAGTTAGCCACCCAACTTGTCACCGCCACGCCACCAGGGCTCCAAGCCCCATCCCTTCTGAGGTAGGTCTTAGACACAGGGAGGAAGGGAGGCAGAAGCCGAGGCTAGCAGGGGAGGAGAAGTGCCCGTGAAAGCCAGGGACCTGGGGTGCATTCTGACTCCTGGCGACCCCGTGTGCAGAGTGCGGAGCAGCTCCTGATGTTCGTCGGTCGTAGGTAACCAGGCCTCTCTTCTGAGGCACGTCCATAGGTAACCAGGCCTCTCTTCTGAGGCACGTCCAGGTGGATCCCAGCCCCGGAAGTCAGTGCTTTGACCACTGGGGCCCCCCGGTGGCTGATGCGTGACGAGGCACAGACCAGCCAAGGCACCCAAGGGCCTTGGATGCATCTGGTGGCGATGGTGTTTCCATTTTTTGGTGGTTGGTGGTGTGTTTGTCCCACTGCTATTTTCCGGCTGAGTAAGATTCCACTGCGTGGGATCTATCACGCACGGGGTGAATTCATTAAATGTTTGACTAAATATGGCAGGCTGATTTTTAAGTTGGTAACTCAATATGGCCCCGGGAAGGAGGTTCTAAACAGCCAAGCGGCCCTTGGCCAGAAAATGGTTCCCCATCCCTGGTATGGATGGCCCCGTCATGTGGACCCATTGATCCGTTATGGGACACGTGGGCTGTGTGAGCGGTGCCGTCACCAACATTTGTGCACCCGTTTCTGTGTGGACCTAGGTTTTTAGTGTTTGCGGTGCGGGGGGGTGGGTGGGAGGGTCTAGATCACCAGAAGTGGAATTGCTAGGTCACCCGGTAACTGGTACTCAGCTGTTTCCTCTGCAGGGACTACCCACTTCCACACGGCCCACCTTCCAGCTCAGACCCGGTATCCCCGGGTGTCAGGCCCCAACGGCCCTGAAGGTCCCTGAGGTGCCTCTTCTCTACATCCTGTCTCCCTACCACGTGGCAGTTCCTCAGGGTCAGGGGCCCAAGGCCAGAGGTCAACAGCCTCATGGCTTCCCATCCCTGAGGTGGCCCCTGGTGGCACCAGGCAGGCACAAGCATAACTGGCATCTCCCTGACATTCCCTGAACCCAGCAGGACAGATTTCCAGGTGTGCACTAAGCCTGTCCCGCCCTGGGGTCCCATCAGCCACGGGAGCCTGTCAGTGACCGACACTGGTTTCCACAGCTGCAGCGTCTTGGAAGACCCCAGGGTTTTCATAACGACTCTGCTGCTGGCCTGGTGCACCAGCGCCCCTCTGAAAGCTGCCCCCAACCCCTGCCACCCATCCTCATCTTCACATCATCTCTGATGAAGAAGACACAGCCCCTCATCCCAAGGCAGTTGGCTCTGACTTACTGGGGAGCCCGTGCCAATTCCAGGGACCCCGTGGGGCTTGCAAGGCTGTGGCCTTCCAGAAGCGGACAGCCAGGCCTTTCTTGCATGGCTCCTCTGGGAGGGTTCAACCCACCACCCTTTGGGCTAGCAGCTGGGTGCCTAACCACATGCCACCCAGGGGCACCTCAGGGCTCATCAGAGAGCTCCAAAGTATGTGTGAGCATGGAGGCCGCCATGGCTTTTTAAACAGCGTTTCTTTGTCTGGTCTGAAAGGCCCGGGGATGGGCTTTGGGCGCCGGCCGCCCCTGGCCCCGGGGAACTAACCTGGATCTCCCGGGCATGGTACAGGACGACGAGGCCCAGCAGGATGATGGTGGAGAAGCTGATGAGGCATTTCAGAGCGAACGAGTACAGGGACTCCTAGGCAGAGAGAGCAGATGGACGGACGGATGGGTAGATACTGGAGGAGCCCCACCCTGAGCCCCAGCTTCTTCCCCTGGCAAAGTGGGGCGGGGGTGGGGTCCGGCTGGGAGACAGGGCTATGCCTCCATCTCCCTCGGCTGAGGCCAGTGGGTGGCGAGAGCTTGGTCCGGGTGGGGACGAGGACGAAGCTGGTCAGAGGAACTGTGTCATCATTCTTTGGGCAATATGAACGCCCTTCACAGTTTAGATGGCCTGGTCATCTCTGTCCCTGGTCCTTCTCAGCTTGTGCAGCCCAGACTTCCTGGGCCCGTCCTGGTTTCTAAGACCTGGCCCCCTCTGGCCCCTGCGGCTGCAGGGCTTCAAAGCATGATGCTGGCAGGCCCGGCAGAGCAGCACTCCACAGGACCCGAGGCTGACTCAGTTCTGATCCCTGGCCTGCCCTGGGGTGACCAGTGCCCTCCCAGTTCCAACCCCAGGCTGAGTGCTCTTGGAAAGGGATAGAAATCCTTTCCCTGCCCCCTCCCTTCTTTCCCGGCCCCACCCCATCCTATACCCAATCTTAGCAGCTTGTCCTGGGGGACAACCCCTCCTGTAGGTCAGAAGGTGAGGTTGGGGCCCTCCTTCTCCATCTTGGCTTCAGGAGGTGGCATGGGGAAGAGTCCAGCACTCTCCCACCCACAGCCCCCACCTGCCTCTCTCATTGGGCCATCAGGGCCCCTAATCCCAAGCCCAAGGGACTGTGGGGAAGTGAAGCAGGTTCTGCAGAGGCCCTGGGGGTACCCCAGAAACAGGGCATGGAGTGGTGCCTACCTTGGTGTAGACGCCCCAGGACAGCTCCGTCTCGGTCACCATGACAACGATGCCAAACATGCCAAAGATGAGTGCATAGTCACTGAGCCGTTTCCGCTTCTCGAAGAGGGCCCTCCGGTGGCCCAGGCGGTGGCCTGCATTCGGGGGCCTCCCCGAATGCCCCCGCCCGCCCTCCTCCTCTTCCTCCTCCTCATTGTCCTCCTCCTCCTCCTCCTCCTCCTCGTCCTGCCCCAGGGGACTGCTGGGGGAGGGCCGGGCCAGCTCGTTCTTGTCCACGACCACCTGCAGGCCTGGGCTGGGCAGGGGCTGCGGGGCACGGCCAGCCTCAGGGTCCACAGGATCTCGGCCCAGGGCCCCCGGCCCGCTGCCCAGCGGCTGCCCCACACTGCCATTGTGGCTGTGGCTGCTCATGACTATCTGGGGGGCGGCGTCGGGCTGGCTGCAGGCCACCCGGGGCCCAGCATGGCGCAGTGGCTGGGCTCCCGTGCCGACCTGCAGAAGGACAGGGGGACGCCGTTAAGACACCAGAAGCCACCCAGGACCTTGCTGACTGAACCCAGAGGTAGAGACCATCAGCACAGAGGTGTGCCATTCCAGAAACACCCCTGGTCAGCCTCCCTGCGCAAAGCCCGCCTGGGACTCCCCAGCCCCACCACGCAAAGTCAAACTCTGGGCAGTGACCAAGTGGCCTTCTTGTCCACTCACTCTCCCCAGACACCCCATGCCGGCCTCCCCGTGACCAGAATCAATACGCTCAGACCTGCCTACAGGCCTTGGCAGGTGCTCTTTCCACTGCTGGAATTTCCATCCACCGTGGCCACATTGCTGAAACCCACTTTCCATGCTCGCTGCCACCATGCCCAACGTCCCCCCGCCCCCACCCCACTATTCCCCACCCTCACACACCCTCCCAGCTGCCATCACGACCGAGCACTTGTTTACTGCCAGCCCGAGTGGTGCAAACGATGAGTGTGCTCAGCTACTAACTGCGAGGTTGGAGGTTCAGGCCCATGTGGAGGTCCCGCCTAACAAAGGCCTGGAGATCAGACACCCACGGCCTGCAGGTCTGCTCTGACACACGTGGGGTCCCCGAGTCGGGGTGGATTCAGCGGCATTTGTTCAGTTTATTATGAGCCAGGCTCTGGTGGTCTTTTTAAGGCTCGGTTCTTGATACCGTTGTTCTCTCCGTGCCTCGTGGTAGCTCTACGCAGATTTGCTTGGTTGGCGCCGGGCGCCGGAGTCTGTTCTGCTCCACGGGGCCCTGCCCGCTCCTGCCCTCACCGTCCAGCACAGATGGACTCCACTCATGGTGGACGTGACTGTGCCGCCCGCTCTCACGGAGCGTCTCTCTCTCTTCTGTTCAGTCTCTTCAAGCGCGATGTTCTTCTTCAGGGCCTGGTCCCTCCTGAGAACATGGCCCAAGTACCTGCGACGGAGTCTCAAATCCTTGTTTCTGGCTGGACTGCTTCCGAGACAGGTTTGGGTGTTCTTCTGGTAGACCGCGGTGTGGTCCGTATTCTTCGCCAACATCGGAATCCAACAGCATCCTCCCCTCGTCTTCAGCCTTTCTTATTCGCTGTCCGGCTTTCCCACGCACCTGAGACGACTGAAAATACTACAACGGGTTGGGTCAGGCGCACCGCAGTTCTTAAGGCGACGATTCGCTCACTAATACTTGAAAGAGGTCTTGGGCAGCAGATTGGCCCAACACACCAAAGACCTCATTTGATTTACTGGCTGCTGCTTCCATGGGCAACTTCCATCCCCCCCCCCCCCATTTAGCAGATGTTGCTCACTCAACAAGCTGTGAGGATGTGTGTTACCTGTGGAGGTACAGTCCACCTTGAAAGCTGTGGTCCTGGTTCTGTGTCAGTCAATGCTTCAAGTGCTTTGCACTTTCAGCAGGTAAGGCTGCGTGTCCTCTGCATAGCACGGGCTCTTAATGACCCTGCCTCCCATTCCAATGTCCCGTCTTCAGATGGTCCAGCTTTACGAGTTATTTGCTCAGCATACGGATGGAATAAGTACAGTGGAAGGCTACAGCCCCGAGGCACATCTTTTCTGATTTTCAGCCAGGCACCAGGCCTCCGTTCTGCTCACACAACTGCTTCTCAACCTGTGCACAAGTTCCCCAGGGGCACGACTTAAAGTTTTTGGAATCTCTAATCTTTGTAAGGTCAGCTCTGCTCTGTTTATGGCTGGCTCAGTCAAATGCCTTTGCAGAGTCACAAAAAGACGGGTGAACATCGTCTCAGGTATTCTCTGCTTCCAGCCAACGTGCATCCAACATCAGCATGGCGTTCTCCCTCCTCCATCCTCTTCTGAGCGCAGCGTGAATCCCTGGCAGTTCTCGGCAGCCAATTTTAAAATTGTCTTCAGCCAAATAAGAAATAACTAAAGGGTTTTTACTTGCAGGTGATATTACTGAAATTCTTCGACAATTTCCGCCTTCTCTTGGGTCACCTTTCTTGGGGATGGGGACAAATATAGACCTCTTCCAGGTGGCTGGCCAGGTATCTGTCTTACAGCATTGCCAGCGCTGTGTCTGTCTGTTGACACGCGTCCGTTGGTATTCTGTCAATTCCTGCAGCCTTGCTTCCCGCCAGTCAGTGCTCTGGGGGCAGCTTGGACCCCGTAACTTGGTTCTTGATCATACGCTACCTCCTGAAATGGTCGCATGCCCACCAGTTCTTTTTGGCACAGTGACTGTATAGTCCAGCGGTTCTCAACCTGTGGGTCACGACCCCTTTGGCGGTCAGACGACCCTTTCACAGGGGTCGCCCATTCATCACAGTAGCAAAATGACAGTGATGACGTCGCAACAAAAATAATGTCATGGTTGGGGGGGGTCACCCCACCACGAGGAACTGTGTGAAAGGGTCGCGGCGTGAGGAAGGTTGAGAGCCACTGGTCTAGTCTTCCCACCTCTTGATGCTGCCTGCGTCTGTCAATATTTTGCCGACAGACTCCTTCCACAGTGCAGCTCAGAGCTCGCCCGTTTTCTTCCGCTCTCTCAGCTAGAGAAGGGCCAGCGCGGTCGGTGTCTTTGCAGATTTGACAATACTACCTCCTTTGTCTTCTCAAGCCACCCTCTCAAGGCTTCCTTACGTCATCCTTTCTGCCATTGCTTCAAGGGCAAGTTTCAGAGTTAGGATCCTGCCTGCTTTTCCTCGTTCCTGTCTCTTGAATAATGACCTTTTGTGGGCTTCAAGTCTGATATCCTTGATGGCATCCGGCAAGCCCTCTGGTCTCTGAGCATCAGGGTTCAGTGTGTCCCATCCATTGCCCGCTCAGTTCAGGTGAGTCATATTCAACGTCGTACTTTGAGTCTTGTGGACTTGCTCTCATTCCTTCAGCCTCAACTTGAACTTGCACACGACCCATCGATGGTCCAGTCTTGACCAGATGCAGTTGACCTATAGCCTTGTTCTAATGTTATTGAGCTTCTCCACCATCTTCTTCCCAGGGATGTGGTTGGTTCGATGCCCGTAATTCCATCTGGCGAGGTTCATGTGCACAGTACTGTTTCTGCTGTTGGAAGAAGCAATACCCCATGAAGGGGTGATTAGTCTTGCTAAGTCCGATACTGTGATCTCTGGTGAAGTGTGTCGATCGCCAAGGCCATGCTTTCCAACTAACGATCTTTGTTTCCAACGTTCGCATTCCAATCGCCAGTCATTATCAATGCCTCTTGATTGCAGGTTTGCTAAACTTCAGGCGACACAAGTAGGTAAACACCTTCAATCTTTTCACCTTTGGCATTAGCGGTTGGTGCACACATCGAAATAATTTTTTGTTTTAACTGGTCATCCTCGTAGTCATATAGCTTTTCTCCTATCACTGACGGGGTTGTCCTTCAGAACAGATCTTGAGGTACTCCTTTGGCTAATGAAAGTGACCCCATTCCGCGTCATTTGTCATTCTCGACATAGGAGACCACGTAATTGATTCAAAATGGCCAATACCAATCCATTTCAGCTCACTCACGTCTTGGCTATCCATCTGCAAGTGTGCGGTTTCATTTCTGGCCACTTGCAGTTGCCCTAGACTTAGACTTGGTAAAGTCTATCCGAATAAATGTGTTCAGCTGTTTCTTCTCATTTTGAGTCAAGCCACATCTGCCAGTGAGAGTCCCCAAAGCTGTGTTCCATCCACAGCATTCAGGTTGCCTTGACTTTGCGGATGCAGCTCTTCCTCAGCTGGATTTTGAGGGGTCATCTTCCGGGACTGTCTTTGACCAGGTTCCACTGCTACTCATAAAATTCTCACCAGGCAAGTTTTAAAGACACAGAGGGTCAGCTCCTCCTTCCCAGTCTGTCTCAGTCTGGACGCTCCACGGAAACCTGCCCACTGCGGGCGGCCCACAGCATCCGGCATCCTTGAGCCACGCGCAAGTCACCGGAGTGTGACAGACTGACTGGTGAGTGGTGGCGTCCAACTCTACAGGCAGGAAAACTGGGCCCGTGGCTGTGAGGGAACCTACCCAAGGTCCCTTAGAGGACAAATTCTGGAACTCTCCCAACAAGACAGGCAGGGCAGGTGGTGGGCGATGTGTTGCCCTCTTGCAAAAGACAGGTCAGCATCTAGGGATGGGGGAGATGGCTGTGGGCACAGACAGACCAGGGCACCATCTGAAATGCCGGAAGCACATCCTGGGGGCAGTGAATGAGGAAACCAGCAATGAGGGGAGGAGTGCCGTGGTGAGGTATGCGGACTATCAGGGTGAGGGTGGTCCTTGACTGGGACACCACCCACATGACAGGGCTGCCTGTGTCCTTGTTCCAGGGTCCCCCGCTGACTCTGTTGCATTCACTGTGTGTCCTCAGTGGCTGGGGCAGGCACACAGTAGGACAAGATGTTTTTTCCACCGCTGAGTGATTGCTTGTTTTATGCCCTACCCCCCACTCAACCCCACCTATGATTCTGACCCCCATTCCCAGCCTCCTGCCCCAGCCAGCCCCCCTCTAAGGGCCTCGGCTACTATACAGGAATGGAAACCTGCCCAGTGGGGTGGGGGGTGTCTAGGAGGTAGGACTCAGGCCCCTCTTCCACTGCCATGGTCCCCACAAAGACACTGAAGGGGGCTGCGTGCATGTGGGCACGAGTGGCAGGTGGCCTGGCAGACAGGATCAGGGAGAAGGGGGGCTGAGGGCCACTGCAAACGACCTTCTGAAACGCACCGATGAGGATGCAATTTGGGGTGACTCAGCCGGCAGACACACGGGCCAAATGCAGCTGCCGCGTGTCTGCCATGTTCCTCCCCACCCCCTGGCCCTGTCCTAAGGCGCCCTGGACAGGGAGGGGATGGGGAGCGGGGTGGCGGGCAGGTGGCTTCTGAGAGGGCAAAGGAAGGGATGCCCATAACCTGAACCCATAACCGAGTGCAGTTACCGCATCTTAATCTCTAACGCAACCCAGTGAGGCAGCCCCTCCCCTGTCCCTATTTTACAGACCAGGGAGATTCAGCAACTTGCCCAGGGGCACACAGC